CCAACCTAATAGTGATGGCCTCCAACCTAATAGTGATGGCCTCCAACGTAATAGTGATGGCCTCCAACCTAATAGTGATGGCCTCCAACCTAATAGCGATGGCCTCCAACCTAATAGTGATGGCCTCCAACCTAATAGCGATGGCCTCCAACCTAATAGTGATGGCCTCCAACCTAATAGCGATGGCCTCCAACCTAATAGTGATGGCCTCCAACCTAATAGTGATGGCCACCAACCTAATAGCGATCTCCAACCCAATAGTGATGGCCTCCAACCTAATAGTGATGGCATCCAACCTAATAGCGATGGCCTCCAACCCAATAGTGATGGCCTCCAACCTAATAGTGATGGCCTCCGACCCAATAGTGATGGCCTCCAACCTAATGCCACCAGAGTGGAAACACCAAACTCTTATGGCTTGGTTGGCTTCACCTACTGTCTTTACACATGCCATGTCAGGTGTGCACTATACAGATAGAACACAATAGAACCTTGTATGTATATATATGGCGAAAAAAAACACGCATTCCAATTATACAAAAAGCTTGCACAAGCAAGCGCACTTTGGAATCAAGCTGTGGCAAGCTGTCTTATCTGTAAACTGCAAATCCAGGTGAAATAGGGCTCTTGCATCAAGGTGTCTCTGATAGGACAAGGCCCGAAAGCTTTACGTTAAACTCGAGCCTCTTTGACTTCAGGATCCAAGTGACACAGCCAGTCCTGCAAGACTCCCGGACTGCTCGGAGCAAACAAAAGGCATCCTCCCTTTCGACCCTTCTGCAGCTGGACAGTGTTGGAACCCGGTCGCACCAGTCTAGAAAGAACATTCATCTTGCCATACGAAACTAGCCGCTGCACCATGCAAATTCAGTGCTGTGCAAAGGCATAACACTGCCTTCTGTATGGCGTTTCCTCCGCGTACTCATGGCATTGTTGAGACAGCTGCTTCCCACCAAACCTGCCTTCAAGTTGGATGATAAATGGACCTGCCAGTGTTGGAGCAGCAAAACATATCAACAAATCAGACTTGGCAAAATCATGCAAAAGCTATGTTTGAGGTGGCATGTATTGAATTGAAGAGAGTGCAAAGCATGCAAAATCCCACTGAACCAGTTGGATACAGGGCAGCAACTTTGAAAGGTAATGAAAAAGAAGAAACACAAAAAAATATAGAACATGATGCAAGTGGCAGCTGTTCCGTACCAAATGCTGCATCCGTACCAAATGCGAATCGATGTTCTCTACAGTGCAACCACCAGCTGGTAAAGGTATCGCATACTGAGCCAGCAAAGCATCTGCTTGTGTGTTAAGACACAAACATGGACATGACTTGACTGCGGGTCGAAACCCCAATGTTGAGGTGAACAGCCGAACAATGTAATAAGTAAAAACAAATAGCCACTGCAGGGTTCACCAATCCAAGTAATTATGGTGGTAGATCAGCGTCGACCCACAGTCGATTCAAATTTGGCTCGATGCATGTTATTCAGTGTGTAGTATGTATGTATATATAATATAGGATAAAATGGCGTGCAATCATAAAGATCCTAAATCATAACTACCATCGTTGCACATGTCAAGTTGTTGCGACATGTCTCAAGTCTCAATCTAACAATGTAACAACCCACCACCGTCCTGCTCAACGCACCAAACTCTGAAACCAACATGAGCCAACTCCCATCTTGTTTAGACATGTTTAGACGAAGACCTTGGGCCTTGGGGCGTAATTAGCCGGAAGCATCTGTTGCACATCTTTTGCCGGTGGAAGGTGGCCCCATTCATTGGCCCTCTATCCGGTGGAATCTGAGGCACCCGGCAGCATTCAAGTCTTTGGTCCATGAATGCACAGGCTTCCCGCCAGGGAAACCTGGCCAACCCGCGGAAACATCCAGAGTTTATTCTTGGAGGAAATTGACGCTTGCAAGCGAAGGTCGGCCTGCAGCAAAGCAACCCTTTGGAATCTAGGTCAACCATGTACTCAAGAGCTGGGTTAGGCCGCCCCTTTCCGCCCGGTCCTTGTTTTCAGAGGGCCAGAATGCATACATGAGCTATCTTACTGACGGCACCAACTGTGAATGCATCAGGCTTGATCTGAGGCTAAACAGGCGGTATTGATGCAAACTGCGCTTACTCCAGGGCCCCCTGCCAAATCCTTTGCTGTGCCGCTGCCGTACCCGCAAGCGTGTACGGCTGATTCTCAGTGCATGTTTCCATCCACGCCTCGGTACGGGAAGCGATCGACAAGATCAGGTGATTTGAGAAATGTGTACCCAAATGCTGTTAGTTCCACAAGCTCTACTACGGGATCGAGGGAAAATGGGTAGGCCACTCGAGTATTCCAAGAACCTAATAGACTCGCTATGACCATTCAATTGGGATGACAAAACGATCCCAAACCTCCAATTTCAAGTACTGTCCCCATATTATACCCATAAGATGTCTCCATGAAAGGGACATGTCTGGGCTGCACATGCCCTACTCCTGGGCCTTCCGGCTGTACCTTGACCGCCAAGGTTAGCAGGCATGCCTCTCCGATTCGTCATGGATTGGACACATCGATTGGACACGTCGATTGTCCAAGAAGGAAGCTGAAGCAAAACAAAATGTGGATTGGTGATATCACCTCCATCGGTCCATGCCTAAATGATTAGAAACCAACTGTGCCAGAAATTCAGAAGTTGGTAGAAATTCAAACTTCCTATGATATTCAGGTTCTATCAGGTTCTGCTTACGTCCACCGTGCCAGAAATCCACCGTCAACTGCCCTTTTTCTCGCGCACGCGCTCGGTCTGCGCCGCAACCGCCGAGCGGAGCAGCGGCACGGTCTGCTCCACATCAATCGGATCAGTCTGACAACAGGAATGCCAATGGCCTGGGTGGTCAGAGGTCTACGAACATGGAAGACCCGTCACGGCCTAAGGCAAGGAAATATCCATGAAAATAACCAACACTATAAGAAGATATGTCAATATATGTTTCGACGAAGAACACGTTCCATTGAGAATATATAGTTGCTTTATGTTGTTTTGTTTTGTGTGTGTAAGTAGTAAAATACAATACACATGACGAAAAAAATGATACCAACTGAATCCAACGAATATAAGTTTGATAGAAAGCGGACATGGTGTTTTAACAATAAGTTGATTAAAGTGTTTCACGGTTCCCACACAAACAACAGATAAACGATATACTGTACTAGTTGATATAGCGTATATCATTAATGCAGAGAAAACGTGGCATCTAAATGTACTGACATTGTCAAAAAAGAGTTATACACTAGTGACGGGTATTTTTGAAATGATGTCTTTATGTTAGAACTCAGTATTTGTATGATAGATAATTATGGAAATATGTTTATTTGAACGTAAATCAAACTAGAAACAATAGTTATATGGCAAATCCTTTTTAAGAAAACAATTCTGGCTATTTTGTACCGGTATTAAACAAACTGCAAAGGTTGGAAATAGATTTCAACAGCATATGTTTCATCCAGATTGCTTTAAACGTGTGTAACTTGTGTCAACCTGCCTCTGACTTTTAAGATGAAAGGTAACTATTAATAGTACTATTAATATATATATATATTTATTTATTTATTTACTTATTTATTTAAATATATAGTTTCTATCCCGTTGTACTTTCCTAACATTATATTATAGCAGGGTGTCGTGCTACAATCATGTGTATTTCTTGCACTACATTTGATTGCAAAGATATTTACTGAGAACCAATTACTACTAAATATGTTTAGATATTCATTGATCACCTTTTATAGTAGTTTCAGTACATTTAATAATACAGTATTCTTACAAGTGTATCTTAAATATATGTTGTACATCTTGTGTACGCTACCAACTTCGGTTTCTGATGGATGTGTTCCTCCCGGGAAGCAATTTGTTCATAGTCAAGTTGTACTTGTTTTATATAATGGTTTCTCGTCCAAAACCATGGATAATTGTATTGTTGCCTTGTTTTATTACTTGATGATGCAATGATCATCAATTATCTATATGATGCAGCTTTTAACTGAAATAAGTAAAAAAACAAAAACAACATGAACATCAAAAAATCAAACATTGTTGTTCAAACATGTATCTTAATCCGTTGCTTAAGTCAAAGAACATGTTATTATTCCACTTCCCTTTTGAACTGACAAGGATTGAAAAGACTATCCTTTTGACTCAAACTAAATATCATTTATGAGTTCCGGGTAATAAATTAGTCCAACCCATTCCTCACTATGTGTGAATCTTCATATTGTATGTCAAACGCTATTCAGCAAGGGAACGATTCTGGGCAGACAGTTGTGTTGCCTGCGGGACTTCATTCACTTGCATGAGGGTACGCGTTCTACTTGCATTTGCCTTATTCATGGTCAACATGGAGCTGGTCGCTTAATCCCTCATCAGAAGCCCTCCTGTCGTTGAGATCGGCGACCAAGCTAAGGATATAGCCGATTTGTTCTTCACTCGCCCCGAAATCTCCAGCAATGTCTGGCAGAACGACACCATGATAGAACCACAAAAGCAAGCATGTTGGAGATTGTTGGACCAGAAAGGTGTGACGAGCAGAATTCAGAATAGGCATGCATCAATCTGGTCTGTTGGTGCATTAGATAGTATTAGCCTATTGCCCATTTCCATCACATGGACTCACAAAGCTCGAGTCTGACCGGCTGGGGAAAGACGGTATCTTCACGCAAGGTAAAAGAATTCTCAGGGCTTCTGCCATGGTGGATGAGGCCATCGCCGTGGCAACGGCCGCACGTTTGACGCTGCCCAGCGGCCAAGTGCCAAGTTGTCCACTCTTGTCTCCAGCGATGAGCTCTCCTCGAACCTCAGAGACCAGTACTGGGTGTGGTGAGCATTGGTTTCTGCAATGAGGACAACACCCCGGGAGACCAAGTGGACATTTTCTCAGAAACTGGAAACTTTTGCCGTTTCATGTTCAGAACGGGGTGTTTCCTTTTTTGATGTGTCTCTTGGACATGTCAGAAATCCCCCCTTCATTACTCGTAACCCACCGAATCTTCGCCCCCCCCGAATCTTGGTTGCAGCCAGCCCATGCACGCGTCCGCGTCGGAACCTGTTGAAACCGGGTAAGGCTTAAGGCACACTTCGAGATCTCACACGACATGTCAAGGGCGTTTCTCCACCGGTCATAGATCTGTCTACAAACTTCCTGTTTAGGTCTTTTTCAGGCTGTCCATCATGTACTCAACTCGCATACACATGTGTAAAGACATGTAAATGTAAAGACTGACTTCCAAGACACCAGGTTCACTGAAAGGGCATTCACTGCTGAGGGCATCTTCACCAGTTTTCGTCTTGCCTTCACTTCAAAGTCCCAAAGGATGATGTCGCCATTACCTGAAGGACGAAGTCAGCAGCACTGAACAGTTCTTCGTGGACCAATTCCGAACCAAAACACCGCCGATGTTACCAACACCGCCCATGGGGTCAAGGACCCACATCAAATCGGTCATCCCCTTCACTTCCCACGGCCCATATACAATTGTTGAAATATAATATACAATATTTGCTTTATATATATTTATTTAAAGCAAGTATATATTCAGATTCATTCAATGTTAGGATTCCCCGCATCGTTTTTACTGCGTTTTGCACACGGCCGCTGCAAGTATCTGCTGGTATCGTTTTGCAGGGTGTGCAAATCGGTTTCCAAAGACATTTTTGGATACGACACCATTCGCCAATGGGTATCAGTTTTTGACGTCCGGTATTGGAAAATTCAAAATCAACGTCTTGGATTAAACGCCCTTATAGAATGTAAATGATGATAATTTTCAGAACGATTTTCAGAACGATTCATCAACTGCTACTGTTCAGCCAATGGTGCGGAGCCCACAGGCGATGACTGGGGCTTCAGGCAAGAACACGGCAGAAAGCACCGGATGTCCACATTCTTCATACCTTGCAAACTTGATGGTTCAAAGCCGGGGCAATCCTCTTTTTCTCTCGGATGCACATTCTTCATTGCAAACCCTTCCTTGAGCTGACGTGTCACTCTCCATGTGTTAACTGCAATCGAGGAGGCTGCTCCAACTCCTCTCCACGAAGGCAAAGGCAACCGAAGTTATCTTTAAAGTTACAGGCAGTGTAGACAAAGAAGGAGCAGGCCTGAAGCTCAAAAACAGGGTTTGGCACTGTCACACGCAAATGAAGACATAGATCAGTGGCAGGCAAATCTTTTGCCAATGCCCCGCTTCAAGTGAACGTCTGTGTTCGTGTAAAGTGCACAAACAGACCCAACCTCATCGCTCGAATTCTCTCTACCTCCCTCAACGCCTGATGGCTTAAGTTGACCCACACACTTTGATATTGGGTTTGCAGTTAACTCAATTCCCAGGTCGAAAAGGGCGATGGAACAGAAAGGTGGCAAGGTCCGCAGAAAAGTATTGTTTAACAAAGGTTTACGCAGTTTACGCTCATCTACAGCTCACGACACGGCGGTGGCGAAACGAACGGCGCGGCTCATCGGCAGGAAAAGGTTTTGGGGAGGATCGTGCAAGGACCATGAACCAAAAAAATGGAGAAGTGGAGTCACAGCTTTCTCAAAAATTCTCGCAGATACACAGCGGAGCGTCCCCCACTGCATCAGCACCGACTGGCACCCTCTTCGTTGGACGGGCGGTGCCAGTGGTGTCCCGTCCCGCTGCGTGTTGAAAACAGAGTGTGGCACACACACTCAGCCGCTTTGCGGCGCTCTGGCCTTAGAAGAGAAAGAAAGAACAACAGAAAGAGCAGCGCTAAAAGGGCAGGAGAGAAAGATAGGAGTAGCCAAAAGGGAATACTTAGCCCTTGACTGAAGTAGGGAAATGAGCCCCAAGAACCACCCAAAAAGCCTGAGAGAAAGCCCAAAAGAACACACGACGAAAAGCGCAAGAAAGAAAGTGGGGGGCAGGGAGGGGATGTATGTAACATGTGTGTGTGTGTCACCCCCTGGTTCTAAGGGTTTCCCCACCTTCACCACTTTTCCACAGGCAGGGGGCATGGCAGCTGTTTCCCTAGCCATGCCAACGAAGCTATGGGACTCAGCCGGAAGGGAATGTGGACGCACATTCCTGTACCTGCGACAACTGTTGGATCACGCTGTTTCCAATCTGTCTTTTTTGATTCATGGTGGTTGCATGCTTCCTCCCATAAACAGGTTTCCCACTGCGTTTCTCAGCTGTGCTCATCACCGCATCGACTGTACAGATCGAAACAATGTTCAACCATACGGTTTTTTGCGGAATTATGCGCCTTTCCGTTCCCTCACCTTCCTTCCCAACGTGGCAATTGAGTCTAACTGAAAACCCAAGTTCGAAGTATGGACCGCTCAGTCTTCCCACGTGGGTACTGGGTGTGACCCTCCGAAAGGAGGCGCTGACGCCATTCCGGATTTCATCGTTCCTGCTTGTTTATAACTGATCTTTCGTTCCTTCAATTTATCTCTGAATTCCCTGATTTTCGAGCCGCCGGGCTATAAACGAAGGACTTTATCGTGACTGTCATGACGTTGATTCATTGCATTTCCCAATTTTTAACCCGCAGCCATTTGACCGAAGCTCAACTTGCACATGCTCACATTCCCGAGATTCCACTGCATGCCGAGATTCCACCTAATTCATTTGTCACAGCACGCAGTGTCAGGTTCCAGAATTCACTGCCATTTTCAACTCTTTCACCTCCGCTGCTGTGCCGCGCCGGCGCCATTGTTCGCAGCCTTTTTGGATTGACCTCTCCATCGCTGGTCCTATGCAGTTTCCCTGGCCATATCCACAATGGCCACCACCGTGTACCGCATCCACAATACCCACTGTCAGCACTCAACCACCACCATGGCACCATTCTCTACCACCAGCACCTGTCCCCGCTGTTCTATCTCATCCACCACAACCATCACTCCTCCCTCACTTTCAGACCGCTCCACCACAACTGCCACCTCCTACGTGGCCACATCCTATGCCAACACATCCTCCACCGGCACCAACCTTTGTACCTCACACACACCCCTATCCAGCACCACCTCAGATGCAGACTTTTGAAACCATGCCAGCACAACCTTTCCACCACCCACCCTCTATGCAACAGGCATCACCAGCCCCATCGGCTCCACCAGCTCTGCAAGCACCACAACCACAACCACATATCCAGCAAGCTCCTGTTCATGGCGACCACCTTCAAGGCGTCTGGCAGCCATACTCTCTCTTTCCACCTGTTGCTCACCCATCGCCACATCAAGCATCAGCCCCACCCACCGTTGCTCCTTCGGCTCCAACACCCCCCGCGCCGCGGGGGCACCCACGCCGCCCGCTCCGGACGTTTCGCACGTCCCCCCCACCAGCCAATCCTACTCAGGCCACCATTGATACAACTGCCACGCCACCCTCCACGTCACCAGCCATTCACTTTGCTCCACCACCAGCCACCGTTCCACCACTACCACCACCACCACCGTCCCCAACGCAAGCACCTTCCATGCCCACTCCAGGGCCTCACAAGCAACCTCTCGAGGCTGCTCCCATCCGTTCAGGCACATCTCTCACAACACCGGCCTCTCATGCAACCACTGGCCGCACCAACCGCAGCAGATGCCGCAGCCGACGCCGTCGCCGCCACCACAGTCGCCATACACGTGCTAAGCACGCCAGAAGTCATCGCTCTCCTGCAGCCTCCACTGCTAAAGCGTCGTCGACACGCCGTCGGCGTCGCCGTTCCCCTTCAACCTCTATATTCCACATCTTCAGACAGCTGCTCCCGCAGCCGCTCCCATGCACCCATCACCCTCCGACCCAATCAGCAGTCTACACCTCAGCACCACATCACAAACATGTTCCAAGCAGAATTCCCCAACATTCCAGCAATACAACGGCCTCATCCGCCTTGGAAGCCACACCCACCACATTTCCACCAGCTCCCCCACCAAGAACAGATTGCATGGTGGCTTGACTTTCACGCTACACAATTGGAGGCAGAGAACAAACCACAACACGCATATGTAGCCAAAATGCTCGCTGACATCGGCTACACCATCGATGATTTGGCAGACTTCCGTCAACTCAACCATGTGAAGTGGAATGACACCACCAATACTTATGACACCTTTTCCTATCACTGTAACAACATTCCCAGTTTGCAGTGCACATCAACGCCGGCCATACAGGCCCCCACGGCAACATCACCGCCATTCTCCAACAGGGCCGTTTCTGCCCAGCACCCTACATTTTGACGCCAATCCGGGTTTCTTTGCCCAAGCCACACGCATTACTCACCAGTCAATCCACGACAACTACGAACAGGCCCGCGTACTACACAACACGTGGAACCTGGCGAAGAACATCCATTCTATCATGGTCCATCTCCTCGCCTGGGGTCGAGGGACCAAATTTACCAGCGGCGGCGAAGCCCAAGCCATGCACCTCTTGCAACAAGACCATGGCGCTTTTTGCCACTCAAAAGCCCGATGCTGGGTGATTCACCCCCATAACGCCATAGTCAAAGGACTGGCGTGGTCTATCAATGCAACCCCTCCGGACCTTTGAGGTTCCGCCACCTACCACAGACCTATCCACTTTCTCCAACACCAACACCAACTCCACGCACTTGAGAGAGGCCCTTCCGTGAGTTTCACATTGGCCACCAACTCCAGCGTTGCAAAATCCGAGCTCCAGCCTTTTCTCACTGCATTATGCTCCCATGTATTGCATTTTACTCTCGTTGTACATAGCTTGCAAGTATTCTAACCAGCAGCCAGTTTTGGTGCTCATTTTGCTTTTTGATCAATTTTTGGTGCATGATCGCTCAGTTTCTTTTCAGGTTTTGCGAATTGCGGAATTTTGTCGACAATTTTCTTCTTTTCATGCAAGGATGAACTGCTTTTGTTTCTTTTCAGGCTGTATTGTTTCAGCCACCCACTATGTATCTTTATCTGTCCTGCAAACTTCGTGCTCAATAATTCATTTTCGTAGTTCAATTGCATGCCTCGCATGTCTGCACCGGCCGCTCATGCACTGCTGACACCTGCGCTGCGCCATCCGCTGCTCTAGCATATCACTTCAGCTGCCTGACTTCGACGCTGCCCCTCAAGATGCAGTCTCATGCCGACCAGGCTCGACTTATCCATCGAACTACGATTGCTCTCAATCAACTTCATCGTATACTCCAGCAAGCGACTGACATCCTGGCTAGCTTACACAGCCTCTATCTTGTCCACACACAGCAGGTCGACCCCCACTTTCACCGACCTTTTCCGGCCCTCCCTCCAGCTCCCCTCACAGCAGTTCCTATCCCTTCTCCCACGTCCTCCTGTGATTCGGCTCCTGTCGCCCCCATCAAACATGCACCACCACAGCGTGCCCTTTCACAAGCATCCTCAACCTCCACCTCTCCACCAGCACTGCCACAACCCAAGAAGAAACGCGAACCTCCACCACCCCTCAACGAAGATGCTGATTGGGACGCTTGGGATGGCGACGCTGAAGTTCGCCTTGTGGAACTCAAGACAGACACCCGCCTGCGACCGAATTGGAACTATGTTGCTCGTCGGGTAGGCTTCTCAATTGAACAGTGCAAAGCACGCTGGGAAGAACTTCAAGAAGCACAACGTCAACAACAAGCAGGCATCCCACCGCCCTCACCTACTTCACCCGTCCACACGCCACCACCTCTTTCCCCTGTCCCTTCACCTCCCTCCGCAGCAGCAATCCCACCACCGGCAACTCCCTCAGCTCCGGATTTCTCGTACACTCCTACAACACCTCCATCACCTGCACCGGCTGCCGCCGCCATGGCCGATGCTGTGCCAGCAAACATCAGTGAGGACAGTCATCCGGAACCAGCAGCCGCTGATATTGGTAGCTATTTTGTTTAGTCTCCGTTTCACCCAGCTCCTCTCGGCGCGCCTGTCGCAAACAACTTCCACGCACCATTCAACCATGCAGGCCCTTGAGGTTCTGCCCGTTTGTTTCTTTCTTTTTTGTTAGTCATTGAAACCCAATCAATCTTTCCAGCCATGCCAAGGCATTGCACAGCTGACTACCGCAATTTCGAGTTTTCCGAGATTTGATCGTTAGCCCACCTCCTACTACCGCAGCCATTTTCAACCTCTCGACTGCTTTGAGTGTGCAGATCGCTTT